CCTCCCTGTTCGGGGCACCCCCTGCAGGGACCTCTGCCCCACCAACCCAACCCTTCACCTTCGGCGCCCCCGCCGCGACGACCTCCGCCGCCGCCGCCAGCCCCGCACCCGCCTTCGCCTTTGGCGCCGCCGCCGCGCCCCCGCCTGCCGCCGCCGCATCTCCCTCCGGGCCCAGCCCCGCCGACAGTGGCAGCGGCCTGTTTGGCGGGCCTGTGCCCGCGCCAGCCGCGGCAGGGGGCTTCGGATTTCAATTCGGCGCGGCCCCTGCCCCCGCGGCGGGCGCGCCCGCATTCGGCGCGCCGCCGGCGGCGGCAGCGGCAGCCTCGGCGCCCTCGCCATCACCCGCATTCACCTTTGGGGCGGCCGCCGCGGCGCCCGCGGCGGCGTCAGCGGGGTTTTCGTCGTTTGGCGGCGCGGCGGCGCCCGCGTTCGGAGCGGCTGGGGGCTTCGGCACTGCGGCGCCATCACAGCAGCAGCAGCAGCAGCAGCAGCAGCAGCAGCAGGCCGCGGCCCCAGCTGCGTTTGCGTTTGGTGCTGCACCGCAGCAGCAGCAGCAGCCGACAGGGCCATTCACTTTTGGCCAGCAGGCTGCGCAGCAGCAGCAGCAGCAGCAGCCAAACCCGTTTGGTGCGCCGCAGCAGGCCCAGCCTCAAGGTATGTTTGCGTTTGGCGGCCAGCAGCAGCCCCAGCAGCAGCCGCAGCAGCAGCAGCAGGCACCGCCTGCGTTCGGTTTCGGCGCCCAGCAGCAGGCGCCCGGTGCGCCCGGTGGCTTCGCTTTCGGCGCGCAGCCGCAGCAGCAGCAGCCCGCATTTGGCGCGCCCTTTGGCGCCCAGCAGCAGCAGCCGCAGCAACAGCAGCCCCCGGCGTTCGGCGCGCCGGCGCCGGCGTTCGGCGCGCCGCAGCCCGGCCAGTTTGGGGCGCCCGCGCCGGCCGCCGGCGGCTTCACCATGGGGCTGGGCGCGGCACCCGCGGATCAGGGCGGCGCTGGGCGCAAGCGCCTCAAGGCCAAGCGGCGCGGCGGCTGACGGCACAAGCTGCGCGCGTCACTGAGCACCGCGCTCCCCTCCTTTCTCAGCCGAACGCGGCGCTGTTCACCTTGTAGCCCGGTCCATCATGATTTTTGACAGACGCAACCTTAGGTTGCATGGGCGCATGAGCGTTCTGCATCTCCAGTACAGCCCGTTATATTCGGCCGCTTGCTCAGCGGCTTCTCGCGGCCTTTCCCTCGCAGCTTGCGTGCATCGTCCTACGGTGCCGGGCGCCGCATTGCATCCGCATTGCATCCGCATTCCTTGCGAGACTGTAACTGGAAACCTTCATCGGTTCGCTGGCCAGGGCTGATCCCCTCATCAGTCCAGGCGTGCTGTACTCGCAGCCGCGTGCAGGGGGGGGCCGGCTGTGGCTGTGGCGCGGGCAGGGTGGGGCGTGCAGGGCGGCGCCTGCAAAGGCACGAGAGCCGCTTCAGCCCATCAGCTGCTGCCGAGCAGCGGTGTTTCGCAGCGTCTGCGCTGCCGCCGCACAGGCCATGTGGCTGGTGACCCGACGGGCGCAGCCGCCGCGCGGCGGCTGCGCCCAGCAGAGCCCGCTGTGGCGCCGGCGGCAGCGCGGCGGGCGGCGCGGCGCTGAGCGCTGCCAGCTCAGTGAGCTGGCATCGCTGAAGCTGCAGTGCGGCATCGTCATAGGCCACGGAAAGCCAGGGTGACGGCAGCCTGCTGAGCTCTAGGCTGCATTCGGTGCTGGGTGCGAACTGGGAGGCGGAGCGCGCCACAGCCTTACCCCAGGCTGCCGGCCATGAAGCAGCTTCGGGCCTGCAGGGCCGAGTTTTGCGCGGCAGCGCGGCCCAATGACGCGGCATCGTTTCTTGGGAGCGCTTGCCCGCAGCTGCACGCCGCGTGCCGGGCAGGGGGTGGCGAGGGGGGCTGGTGGCTTGGATGGGTGGGCTCGTGAATGCAGCACGGGGCGTGGGCGCGGACGCTTGAGAGCCGTGTGTGCTGCTGCGGTCTCAGCTGCCCTGCTTGCTTGCGTGTTGCAAAGGCAGTCTTACGGGAGTAAACTTTGGTCAACGAAGGGGGCACGGACATGCGACGGGGCAAAGAGAGCGGGCATCAGTGTTTCAAGCGCTTCTTGTGCATGATCCTCAAGGTGGGAGACGCACTGAGTCACAATTCATTACGAAGCTGGTAAGTATATGCGAGAAAATAACATATTATGGGTTCAGACTGATCAAGTTCTGCACGAGTGGCCACCGCATGGCAGTGGGAAAGCTAGTGGAGATTACTAAACGCAGAGGGTGGTGCCCGGCAGTGCCACTGGCATTGCTTGCGGCAGCATGTGGCAGGTGCTGTCAGTGCGGTCCTGTGATGCAACCTGTGCACAGTATGATATGACGGATGGGGCAGCGTCTTCCAGAGCTCCCATGTCCAGTTTACTGGGAGCGCTGCAAAGTGTGACCTTACCTCTCACTCTCTGCTTGTTGCATTTATGCTTACCTACAGGCTGCCGTCCCAAGAACGGGGCCTATTCAATCCCAGTCACCCATTCATGTTGCTCACACAGCGCAGCGCCCTCAGATCCTCGCGAAGCAGGGCAACGAGTCACCGACTTTCCTCGTGAGTTGATCGACCACCATGGCTGCATGAACCAAAGGGTTGGGAATCGCTCTGACTCGTTCCTTGACTAGTCTACCCGCGAGGCTTGAACACGTGTTGCCTGAAAAGTTGATGATCCGCCGCCGCTACAGTGCCCCTCATTTTGCCTGGGTCTTCGGGCGATGCTGGCAACGGCGATACCGCCGTGCCGGGTTCCCAGCACTCCCTCCAACACACCCCTGTTCTAGGAGGAAGCTCACAGCTCCCATGTGTCACTCCCATAAAGCAACCTCGCGTCCCAACCCCCGAACACTCCCACAGGGTCAAACCAGTGTGCAGCTCTCGGTCTTCTGCGATGGCTTGCAACGATACCAGCCAAGATCGCCGCTCGGTGACGCTCTCAGAGCAGCAAGTGGGCGACGACGACACACACAACACACACACACACACACACACACACACACACACACACACACACAAACACACACATACACACACGAGAATGCACAACACGAGCTCATGCCGCCAGCACACAACTCCCCCAAGTTGCAGCATCCTTGGAGCGCAAGCCCAGGCCCCCGCTGGACCCACTGTGCCAGTTATGAAGCTGCCCGAGTCGTCCGTCGACTCATCGGTATGCGCGCCACGCCTCGCGCACCCCTGCGTCCCCGCCAGGACGCACACAGCGTCGACATATTCAAGCGGAGCTGGGAGGTCTACCAGACCGTCGTGGCCCACGACAGCGTCCACCACAAGCAGCTGTTTGGCGCCATCAGAGACTACCTGGAAGGCCGCCCGGTGAGGGCATTGGGTGGCAGTGCCATGCGCCTGTGTGCGTGCTTGCATGCGTAGCGTGCACGCATGCGTGCACGCGCATGTGTCTGCGAAAGCGCGCCGGATGCACCGCCCCCACGCCGCATGTTTGTGCGGCCCTCGCGGCATGTCTGCCTGCCACCGCCCCGCTTCGATCGCTGCCAGACGCCAGGCCCCCCGCGACTCCGGAGTCCCCGCTCGATGACTCCGTGTGACGTCACCGGCGTCCCCTGCTGACCCCCTCCCCCGCGACCCCCTCGCCGCAGGGCGACAAGCTGTCGATCCTGGACCTCGGCTGTGGGGACGCCGGCTGCCTCGCGTCCATCATCGCCGGCACGCCCTCCCTGCGCGACCGCATCACATCATATACCGGCATCGACGCGTCCGCCCCCGCGCTGGCGCTCTGCCGCACCAACATGGCCGCCGCGCTCGGCGGCGGCGGTGGCGGCGCGGCAGGGGCGGCGGAAATCGACCTGAGGGAGGGTGGCATGCTGGAGGGGCTGGCGGCGGCGGCTGAAAGAGGGGAGCGTTTCGACGTGGTGCTCGCGTCGCTGTCGCTGCACCACCTGAGCGAGGCCGAGAAGGCGCGCGCGGTGGAGGCGGTCGGGCGCGTGCTGGCGCCCGGCGGCGCGTTCGTCATCTGCGACATCTTCCTGCTGCCGGGTGAGGCGCGGCGCGGGGCTGCGCAGAGCACAGCGCCTGTCGCGAGGGGCTGGTGCGCTGTCCGGCCGCCTGCATGGCCCTCTGCGAGAGTTTTGGGAGAGGGCATCCATCATTGTGAAGCCATGCGTGCATGAAGAAGGCAGCCTAGCAGGGTTGAGCTCCAGTACCAACCTTCCCCTAGCATCACAGGCAAGCTCTTGCCCGTCATCGCACAGTCAGCACTCCCCTACCACTTCACTCCCGCTGCTGCTTTTGCCCTGCTCGACTTACCAACGCCCTGCAAATCCGTAATGTGATAATTCCTAGGCTGGAGCCGGGATGAGTTCATGAGGCAGTACCATGCTGATGTTTACGAGGTCAACGGTGGATGGCAGGGGCAGGACAAAGCAGGTGCGGGGCGGGTGACAGCCGAGGGCGCAGAACGAGCAGGGCGCAGCGCGGGGCACCCTTTGCTGTCAGTGGGGTGGTGTTGGGCGCCCCGCGTTTGTTTGCGCGGCCCACCGTGCCGGGTGCTTCTGCACCACGCCGGGCGGAGGGAAACCGGGCGCGACGCGCGGCCGCCGGTGAGGGCCCCTGCGCCAGCCGGCTGCCCAGCCCGCTCTTAATGGCTACCCTCTCAAATACAAATTCCAGCGGCAGCGCCTTCCCTATTGGATCACCCCACCGGATGGCTCCCCTCGTTACCCCAACCCGTCCAGGTAAGGACCTGCTGTGGGCGCACATTTCGAACTACGATTTCCCGGTGGAACTCTCGCACTACCAGGCCGCCGCCGCCGCCGCGCGCGCGGCGCCGGGCGGCGCGTTCATCAGCGCGGAGGGGCGCGTGCTCACCGAGGTGTTCGTGTACAAGGTGGCGGCCTGGGAGGCGCCGCCCGCTGCCGCGGCAGAGGCGGCGGCGGCGGCGAGCTGAGGGGCGTGAAGGACCGTTAGTGCCTGCAAAAGTCTGACTGGACGGCGGTTGTGGGTTGACGCCAGGGCTCAATTCCAGCATGCTGGATCTGACGTGCACGGCACCTGCATTAGTGTGCATTTATCACCAGTGTTTGCACCCCAGTCTCTGTTAATCCAGGATTCTCCGAAGCCTGCATTCATGCTCTGTGATTCCAAACTTCTTAGTACTTGAAAACAATGCTCTGTTGTGTTTGAGGCCTGATTATCAACCTGCAACCCCAACTCATAATCTGCTGCCATAGTATTGGTGCACCCTGCGCTGGATCAATGTGAGCTGACATACACCGCAATGCCGCTGCGCTTTCGGCGGCCAAGAGACTGGCGCCACATCCTCGCTTCCCTGCCAACTGTGCCCAAAGATTCCCTTGAGATTGCAAGCAAAAGCGACGTCATGTTTGCAGTGCAATCACAGTAACTTACACGACCTTGCTGCGTCAGCCGGGTGGAAAGTGACATTGACTCAAGCCAAGGGGCCACCCTGGACCGCGTGCGCAGCGGGAAGGCCAGACTTGTGCGGCCAGAAACAGGTCGCTCAGGCGACACCTTGTCTCGCTGTCTTTGCAAAACGGTGTTCATGGCGGATGCGACCATTAGTAATACAGTACACGTAAACAGACAAAATGCAAGGGGCCAAGTTGGCAGCTGGCGGCGGGCATGTCAGACCCATTCGCGTGAGCCCTGCGCTATCTCTGCCCGCGCAATTAGCCTGTCTGTACACGCCTTTCGCCCCGCTCCGTGCCACAGCCGGGCTCGACTGCACCATCGGCACACCGAGCACACCGCCCGCACGCAAGCCGGCCGGGCTCAGCGGCGCGCGCCTCTCGGCGCAAACCAGGGGCGCCCGCCCGCCGCTCGCAGCGGCAGCAACCTCGTCAGTCGTCCCAATCGTCCGGATCATCCCCATGGTATGCCGCAGGGCCAGCGGCGGCGCGGGCGGCAGTGGTGTGGCCGCCGTCACGGCCGTCATGGCCTACCCCCTCGCCATCCTCCTCCCAGAAATCGTCGTCGTCATCGACCGCCGCCGCCGCAACCCCTGGCCGCGCCGGCGCGGCC